CTACCACTACCACTACCACTACCATTACCACTACCACTACCACTACGACCACCACTACTACGACCACCACTACTACTACTACTACTACTACTACTACTACTACTACTACTACTACAACTACTACAACTACAACTACTACTACTACTACTACTACTACTACTGCTACTACTACTACTACTACTACTACTACTACTACTGCTACGACTTCCGCTACTACTTCCGCTACAACTACTGCTACTACTACTACTACTTCTTCTACTTCACTCTTGCTTCCAGGTATACGGTATAAGTGTTCCAGTGGCTATGGCTGCCAAAATGCGCCTCGCTAGTTTTGTTACCCTAAGGGTCCAAGTACTTCTTATTATAGGATTTTGGGTACCAGAAGTCAGAAACAAGGATTACTTGAACCCTGAGGGTTATACTTTTGAGCTTATCCTCACTACTGCCCGTTTTGTCCTAAAACGACTCCAAATAATTGAGCGACTTCGCTTACAGAACCCCGTGAACCCGGGAGCGCAAGACGATTGAACCGACTGTCAAATGCTTTGCTTGACAAACTCCAATGCGCCAGTCACTGCAGCGACTTGTGCTTCGTTGCACAACTCGTCTGTGACCTGTCAGGCGGTTTTGGGTTGGGGGGGTTTAGGGTTGAAGGTTTAGGTGGTCACGCGTTGATATCTGGCCGCGTGGCGGTGGGCCTGTATGTTTTAGGGCACTTACACGGCAAGTGCTGTAAATCACGTGCTTCAGAAAATCCAGGGACTGAAACTTAGGGCACTATTTTAGCACACGTTCCCCAAGTGATCCGCGAAATCCACTTTGGGACCGCGCTGCGAGCGCCAGACCCAGCTGTAGATGTATTCAATGGACGCACCTTGTATAAAGAGGCAAAACCGCTGTAAATGGCAGGGTTTTGGGCATGCTTGCAAAATGGCATGAACACTTGTGACACGCCTCGTGTTGCTGAACTTGAAACATTCTTCTGCAACATGTTGCATGAAGAGGCAAAAAAGCTGCAAATAGCAGGGTTTCGGCATGTTCGCAAATGTCATGGACACTTGTGACCAGGGCTCATCTTGCTGAACATCAAACATCCTCCTGCACATGTTGTATAAGCGTCATAAATAGCAGGGTTTTGGGTTGCTTTGTGTAACATGGTCGGAAGCACCCCACTGCTCCCCGCCCCCCCCCATCCCCCCTCACCCCCTCTCCGGATACGAAAACTGAAGAAAAGCACATGGCCAGATACGCACGTGTGTGGGTTTAGAGCAAATCACGATGACTTTGGGTGTAGCGTTGTGGCGTTTGGACAGATCCACCGGATTTGAGTCTTCGAGATCAGGTTAATGAACTGTGTCCATATTCAGGAATCTACATGGCATCAGACATGGGTGCCCAAGAATCTGGGCACAAACGCAATGCCTTTTGGCTGCGACACTCCCTTAGGTTAAAGCTCCCAAAAGGGACGTCGAGGACTGCACGTGCAGGAGATACTTGGAGATCAAAGGTGGTTCATGGGGTTTAGGGTTTAGGGTTGTAATATAAGTGGGGGATCGTGGGGGCCATAAGTATGGTAACTATAGTTAAAAGCTAGAATCTATATGAGCAAATCTATAACCCCACTGAAAACCACCCATAAACCTCCGAGTAGCCTAGTGTATATATGCTGAAGGCTTAGTCGACGGGGTCGCAGGATCACGGCCTAAAGACTCCTCAGAACCTAGAACATGAACAGCACAGCGGGTTTAATTAGGGTTTAGGGTTTAGGGTTTAGCTAGGGTTTGGGCACATCGGGGACATAGCTGTCCATCGCGTCTCCGGTGAGACCAGTGGGGCATTAGGGTGCCTTTGGCCTCTTCTTGGGAGGAGGGAAGCGACGCGTGTCGTTCGGTATACCTACTTGAAGCTTACTGGAACCAAGTGATCGGAAGACTTCTGGACAATGTCCTGATCACAAGCAGACTTACATTTAAAATTACCCGGTCCGGTGCATCTTCAAGTAAGGGGTTCCAGCCCATCCGATGTAGGGTTTCGGGGCTTGAGCAGTAAGCAACTCGCTGTGTTGCAAGTAAGTCGACAAGTGTGCTAGCTTCAGGCTTTTCCCTCTAGGCCCGAAGGGTCCCAGGTATTATCTTGGGGGATACCTTCCCAAAACCTGATAGTCACTGATAGTGATTCCTGATATGGAAAGCCTACGTCCCTACGTGTAGCTATTTATCGTCCTTTGGGGTGCTATGCTGCTATACGGTTCTATAACAGGTCCCAGGGTTCTCGCATGGCATGCGAATCCTTGATTGCTCACGGCGACTTTTGCTGCACCGGGCCAAGATTGCTTGCGGAAGCTCGCTGGGAAGTTGACTGGTACTTCCCGACACCTACAAACAAGTACTGTACTGTAACATACTACGGTGTAGTAATACTATAATTTTAAAAAAATATTTATATACACATTATATATACACCTAGATGACGGGACTATGAGTATTTAATATACACCCAAGCTGACTATACTGACACCAAAGGCCATCAAGTCGGCAACGCTGCATGATACACCGACTTGGCCAAACCGGACTCGGATCAATCCCCAGGGGTCCTTGTTCTCATATCGTATATACTTGGGCTTGAAGTATTCTCAACGTAGGCACTTATAACTTATAACCTATATGGACCCCAGTTAACACCAAAAGTTATTGCCTTTTTCGAAAGCTTCTAAGACCTGATTCAAGTCCCTATGAAATTAAATCCACTCCCGAACTCGCCCGTAGAGGCCTTACAAACGCCCAGGCCGGCCTTCGGGCTATCTGGATAGACTTCGGTGGTGCTCACGAACTTGGCCCCAGTCATGCTGCCGCAGAGACCCAGTGACTTCAGGGGGACGTTGATGACGCCTTCCAAGTTTCGGATCTGTTGCTCTAAGGGCTCTGGTTCGGAGCTTAAGGTTCCCGGGTTTACGGCTCAAATCGGGCTTAGGATGGCTTTGGAGTTGAAGACGTTGGAACGAAGGTTTAGGAATTTCTGCTGTCACCTGTAACAGAAGCAGGTTACCCGACGAGAAGTGGTAACTCCCTGCATCTTTTCTTTGCAGGGAATGTTGGGTCCGGGGCACAGGCGTTCAACGGCATAGCAAACTGTATCAGCGTGCCACAGCGCAAATAAGTATATGATAGTATATGGGAGGCTGGGGTATCCATGCAGACGGCACTACTATAATAACACGTGTAAGTTGCGAACAGCTTCTGATAACTTGCACTGCGTGTGTAACCACTAAACTCGCAATGACACCGTCAGAAAACTCAAGATAGGTTCGAATGTCGATGAAAACCATGATAAGACTGACAACGCGGTGGCTGGTGTGATCTGCGAACGCCCGGGATTGTTGGAGGGATCACGCACACCTTGTTGCGGGGGGTGAACCTATCAGAAACCCCTTACTATCCTTATCAGATTGAACACTGTAGTAGGGATTGTAAAAGTTACTGTGCCACGCGATGCTGCCAAGCCCCTTTGGTGATCATGTGATTTCGGCGTGCTGCTATCCCAAAAAAGTCCATCTTGCCGACTTATAGTTAATGTTCAAGCAGCCGCAGCAGAGGCGTTGACCCTGGAAAACCACGTACAGGTATCGACCCTGTTCCACAAACGATGGTGCCCCTACCGCAGGTAATTCCCTAAATTAGGGTCTTTTTTCCGGTCCCTTTTCAAAGGGTGTCGTACTATTTTGGGGACGTGAAAAGGGACCCTAATCCTAAACCTTAAAAACGAACAGCCACGCCTTCCTGGACCACAGGCTCGCCAATGATTTTGCCCTTCGCATCGGGAGGCGCGATGTGGGTGACCTGGCTGGAGATAGCCACAAAAACAACAAACTTCGAACCATAACGCATAGCGACACGTAGCCTGCTTCTTTGAGAGGCTACCTACCAGTGTGAGACAGTTGCAACTTGATGCGCCAAGCAGTGTTTTGGGCATGAACTACCATCCCGAGATTCATCTGAATGGTTGTAGCTCGAAATCACGACAAAATTTAAAAACGAGGATTGGGGCAGCCATGAACTTGTTCATTTCGATAGAATCATGTGCATCAAAGCATCACCCCAACTCAGCATGTCGGGGGTCTTCAAAAGGTTTCCCCGAGCAGGTGCAATAGTTGTCGAGCTTGCGTCCGTGATCTGCATGAACTAGAATGCAGACCCTTGGCTAGCAAACCCACTCCCTTGATAGAAACTAGAATGACGATCCCATTACATGGGCGCTTGAGGAAAAGGGGGTGTTTCAACCAAGGGTCTAAAGTTACTACAGTAGATGGTAGTATGTGGGAGCATCACAAACGAAGGACACCTAAGAATACAAAGCCCGCACAGCAGGATCTTGAATATCGAGTGAAAGGAGCCGCCCCCTCAAGAAGGGCTCCCTCGTGGAAAGAAACCTTTCTCAAGTGGGAAGAGATCGGGCTCCCATCTCTCAACTCTCAGTGTCTGCGAAGATAGGCATACCCACTGCTGTTCCCCTGGCAAGGTACAATCAGGATTAGACGTGTATAGACTTTGGTGCTTCGACTCTCACACTCGCACAAGGCCCGCAAGGCTCCGCAGTTTAAGTAGGGTGTCTTGGGTTTCGGGTTAAACCGTCAAAACAAATCAAGTCCGTGTGTTTGTTGTTGCGAGCATTCGTGGTAGAAGTCGATGCTTTTGTTGCGTTGAACCTGCGTCAGTCCATCTTGGTCACTCATCTGCGCCACCGAAGGCAAAGCAACAAATTACAAAAATCATCGTGAGTGAACAACATGTATACTTTCAACCGTGGTGGGAAAGGAAGCATTGCAGCAACGGAGACTATCGCTATACAATATGTCGAGGGCGCCTCTTCATTCTCTGAGTTTGCTTAGGCGTAGCTGCTCAGTGCAAGCTGGCATGTCGAGGCCGCGCATCTAAAGCAACTCCGGACGATGGTTCGTTCGTTGGAGGTGCCTGAACCCCATTTCAGGGTACAGTTGTGATGCAGCCCATTAGATTTCACAAGCCAGAAACTTTCCGAAGCTGTGAGTTGAGTCGCGCAAAAAAAAACGTGTTTTTGTCACCGTGATCATCCAGAATGTAGGACTATCGACCTTTGGAGATACAGCTCGACAGCATTGCTGCTCTGTACCGTGAGCCTACGCTCCAGCACCCCGGCATACGTCTTGAAGAACTTAAATAAGATACGCAAATATTCCATAGTATTCTAAACTGTTCTATAATATTCTACAGTATATTGAAATGTACCATACTATACTACAATATACTATAATATACAATCATATAATATGATGTACTATAATATGCTACAGTATACTACCATATACTATGTTCTCCAACAATGTACTATAAGATACTACAATGTACTATAGCATGCTACAATATGATATAATCTAATGTAAGATCCCCTACAGTGAACTTCGAACCCCACCTTCCGCACGGAACTGATGATGGCAGCTTGGAACTCAGCCTGAGGATTCTCTGTGTCGCCCACCTGGGACTGGTGGGCGGTGGTAGCAGTAGTAGTAGTAGTAGTAGTAGTAGTAGTAGTAGTAGTGGTGGTAGTGGTAGTGGTAGTGGTAGTGGTAGTGGTAGTGGTAGCAGAAGTAGTAGTAGTAGTAGTAGTAGTAGTAGTAGTAGCAGCAGTACTTGTAGTAAGTAGCAACACTAGCAGGTAGTGACTAGTAGTAATTTAATGGTATTCTCCTGTCCCCCGCTATTGT